AAGAGAAATATTGTCCATATTAAGTATTAGCTTGAAAATTGTGCAGTCACTCAAAAACAATACTATTCCAACTACAGCTTTAACTTAACTTGTCAGTTAAATGTTACATCCCTACATTCCAGCTGTGGCATAAAAAGGCTTTAGAACACAGCACAAGTAACAATGGGCTCATGTTAAAGCCTTGTCTCTTTGACATTCTTTTAACATTATGTTTTTGGCGCTGTTTCAGTTAAAGACCGGGAGTATGTGTCTCGACTGTTGAGTAGAGGGGGGATATCTAAAGGGTCAAACTGCCCTCACAGCACAGGTAAAAAGTGTCATTATTTACCTTTTGTGCCTGGAATATTTCTGCCACCTGTCATCTTGGAAAACACAAAATGCATTATTGACTTTTGAACGACAATATCCAAGAAAAGACATTAATTCATTCTCAAACAAAACTAAGACAGAGGCTGTGATTAACAACTGAAACCTCAAAGCCACTCTGATCTGACATGATTTAACAAAAGAAGGAAAAGCAACGTTTTTAGCTATACACACGTACACACACACACACACACACACACACAAACACACACACACAAACACACACACACAAACACACAAATGCACACACCTTATGCAGTCAAAAGAATAACAAAATACTTGAAGCTTACGGCCCAGATTCAAGCGTACAGACAGACACACGCCCTGGTGCACGGTGCTTGTTGACAGAGCTAACAGTGTCCCAGGACGAGGCCAAAAAGAGAGCCCGCCACCTCCACACCGGGATCATGCACCGGTCATGTTTGTGATTTGGGAGGAGTGGATGGATACCAGCTCTCCATCACTTTCCTCTTCCTTATACTCAACAGGGATCACTCAGGAGCAAACAGGGAAATGCTATTGAGTGCTAAATCTGTGATCCATGGGCTGTCTGATCAAATCTTGTCGACCAGATAAAGATCAAAGTTGATGTTTCAGTCAGTGATACAATCAATGTAGTAAATAAGGCAAGGCAAGGCAAGTTTATTTGTATAGCACAATTCATACACAAGGCAACTCAAAGTGCTGAAGAAAACAAGAAAGCATTAAAATCATAAATAATCACAGTACATTAAAAGATAAAATCCCTCAGTTGTATGCACAGCTAAACAGAACTGTCTTTAACCTGGTTTTAAACATTGTCAGAGAGGAGGCCTGTCTCACATCTTCAGGAAGACTGTTCCAGATTTTAGCAGCATGAATCTGAAAAGCAGCCTCCCCATGTTTAGTTCTGACTCTGGGCACTAACAGGAGTCCAGTCCCTGTGCTCCTCAGAGTCCGGGCTGGTTCGTATGGTACTAACATGTCACTAATATAATTTGGTGCGGGGCCATGGAGAGACTTGTACACAAGCAGAGCTGTTTTAAAGTCTATTTTCTGAGCCACAGGAAGCCAGTGCAGAGACCTGAGGACTGGACTAATGTGGTCGTACTTCCTGGTTCTAGTCAGGACTCGAGCTGCTGCATTTTGAATGTACTCCAGCTGTAACCCAAATCTGCCCACGCATCTCCTAAAGCATTACTGTGTTCGCCTTATTAACAGATTACACATGATTGACGAGTTTGCCCGCTTTAGAGAATACAGCTAATACACAATGCTTCTAAAAATGCTTGTTAAATTGTTGGCATAAATACAATGTTTATTTGTTATTGCGATTTTGAGTGCATAAATACAAAATGTTTCAATTATTTCTGACGGGTACCACAGTTCTACTTACTGTAATGTGCCTTAACAAACTTAATAGTCTTATTAGCTCAGTTTGGTTTAGTTCTGGCCACTCCAACTTTGAGTGAAAAGCGCCATTACTTACACACTCACCAATTATTTTTGTCAATTATTTGTCAATATAGTGGGGGACACGACTAGCTTTGAGGGGTAAATAGGCACAGGTTAGCAGCCATAGGTCAGTCTACCCCAGGGAAGTTGTGACTACACCTCTGGATTAAAATGTCTGATGAATGGCCTCTGTCCGAAACATCACTACGTGGTCTGTAAATAAAAGACACTGATTGGGAGCAACATAGCTGTGCAGATTTTTTTCACTGTTTTCACGTTTTGCACCTTTTTAATCCAGCACCCTAGTCCAGACTACAGGAGTAAGGTCCAGATCACTCTGTGTAACGGCTCGTACCCGATGTGGCCTGAGACTCACGCACTTGCTCAACCTCGCCCTCTTTGTTTCAGCCTCTTCAGTACAGGTCACCAAAGAACTCTTTCAACCAAGTACAACCAGACCATAAAAACATACTGTGTGTCCCCGCGGCAAATACAAACAGGAATATTTTTTCTGAAAAAACAAAGAAAAAAACACAATACATAGTCAGATTAATGGAATAAAAAAAGCTAAAAAATGGCTAGTGATGTAACAGTATCAATAGCAATATTCGAAAATATTATAATCACAATGTACTAAGTTTAGTTTGGAATTAAGTTATTCTTCTTTCAGTAATTATTCTGCTTCCAAACAAATAAAGACAATTAATCTACTCTATTGTATTTTTTACAAAATATAAATTATCATCAATAATAAATATGACTATGATTTTCTCCATCATTGAGCCGACCTATAGGTTTGAGGACATCTCTTTATTTCAGGTTTTATTACACATTTGCATATTGGTTTGTGAAGAGAACTTAAAGCATTCTGGTTAGTTCTTGACTTTTCTTGCCCAATCCAGGTGTCATAGAACGGTGTGAAAGAGTAATGAACAGGACATGCTCCGTGCCACGCTTCAGTTCACAGCCACCTTTCACAACGGACGTGACAATCTCTGTTTTTGCTGTTATTTTTTGCTGTTAATCGTTGACAGATATTAAAATGGAAAATGTGAGTGTCAGGATGTGCTGATCTGTTGGTGCCATCTTTGGCTGTTTTAATTTGCAACAATGCATTCCTTTACGTTTTATGTAAGTTTCCAAATTTTACCTTTTACCTTACCTTATGTCTGCCCTAAATTGCATGTTTTTTATTTTGCATGGGTTTGTTGAGAGAAAAAAAGCTGTATTGTAGGTATTTGATGAAAGTATAGGTGTATTCAGAATGCTATTCTTTAGTAACTGTCTTTAGAATGAAATACTTTTTCTTTAGGTGGTATTCAGAATACAGTTAGATTTCATAAAAACTTTACCTTTAATGGTGTGTTCTGATGTATTAAATTCAATGTTATTTATACATATATTTTTGTGTGATGCAAAAAAACCAAACAAGTTGTTTTAATCCATTGCAGCAATTTTACAATATATTAATATTCAAATAGGCTTAAAAGTATTCCAAATATTTAGAATACAGAACTCTGGTTGAACCATATATGGGAATAAACTATAAATATATAATCATGTTTTCAGTATTCTGTATCAACATACATTTTGAAAGTATTCTGAGAGTAACTGTCAATAGATTTGATTTTGAAAACAATTACTTGAGAATATCAATGACATAGCCAACAATAAATCGAGAAATAATCAATATTATTTTAACAATTTAACAATTTTAACAACAATTTTATTTTACAAGCCAAACCATACCAAGCTAAATTATTATGCAACCTGTGTAAAGACCTGTGAAATTAGGACACTTGTCTCATTAAGATTCACAACTCACACATTTGTGACTGTATTTGATGTCTGCGCCATGCAATTAACTTATCCAATGCAACATTGCTTTTACAGCAAGGGCAAAGGGCAGAAAGAAAAGGTGTGCATCTAAGGAAATCTACCCACAGTAAAAACTAAAGATAAATGGAGTAATCAGTTCTACTGCCACAACCATAATGAAAATAAAAACAGTTGTAATGTCTTTGATGAAGCGTCATCCCAAATGAATGAGAGCTGCGTCACTGTACCGTTCTATCTGCTGCTTTTTGAACCGTAAATGGAAAGCACATTGTTAATAATATAATATTTATCTTGAAATTAGTGCTGTCCTCTTGCAAGTGTGAATAGACGTGACCTCATAGACAGTCAATGCATATGTGTCCAGGTAATGTTATGAAGTATTTCAGCTTATTACTAATGATCAACCAACGATACTACACTGAAAGATTACAGTTCTCACCAATAATTGGCTAAGATTCTTGTTGTAAACCTCTATACATATTTACAGAGGTTATTGCTGTCTATTTTCACTTTTTCTTTGGTGTTTGTTTACAGCCAGACAAGTGTGAACAACTTCCAAAGTTATTTTTTGTAATCCAAGAGTAACAATTCAAGTAAAATACTTCCCAATTATCTTAATTATTATAAACAATCTCCTAGAGTCACATCTAAATGTAGGTATACATTTTACAGAGAAGATACAACTTACATAATTTCAATTTGTAAAGTTGTATGGTAATTTTACTTCCTTCTCAAATGCAAAAATATGTATGTCTGTCACAGATCTCGGCCTGCTGCCTAGCCTTATATCTTTCCTATACTGAGAAGAGCTGATGTTTCACACTAAAAACAAAAACAAAAGGAAAAGTAGGAAAAGTTACATCAATCAAGCAGTACCCTTCTTGATAAATGCCAAAAGAAAACTAAAATGTCAAAATATAATGAGGTCTAAAAGTCCTCTGATCAAATGCCCACAATGTGAATGTAGATCTCGCCTTTCTTAAAAGCCTTTATGGCATTTTCGACAGGGTACAAAGTTCATGAAAGTTTTGCTGATAAGAAGAGCCAATAAAAGCGCCGGTGGAGCAGTGTAAACACGTCTACCTCGGCCCAGAGCGGCTCATTGTGCATTTACATAAGGCCCATCAGCCGGCCCACTCATTACCATGTTTTATATCCCCTAGCTGCGCCCAGAAAGAATCATGGCAAAGTAGCTCCATCCTCCCCTCAAAGGCAAAGTCGGATTTGTCAGAGCAGGTGCCAGCAGCGGTATAGACAACAGCTCTGGCCTAAAGGAGAAACTTTCTTATGACTTTTTCAGCCTGGTCCCTTCACTCCACTTACCCACAGCTTCCTATGTAAAGTTTTTGATGTTCTCCAAGATGGTATCCAGGCTGACATCTCTTCAGCAGGAGCTCCTGAGTGCACTGCTGGACTCTGGAGTGACCAAAGACGTGCTGATCCAAGCGCTGGACGATATGGACCCAAGCCCTGCGAGTTTCGGCGTCAAGCTGGAGTCGATGCCCATGTCTCCTCAGAGCAGCAAGATGAGCAGCAGCGACGCAGACTCCAAACCCGTCTTTCATCAGCTCACCAACGGCCACAGCAAGGCCAAGCTGTCTGGGGACGAGGGCTCCGAGGACGGGGACGATTACGACACGCCACCGATCCTAAAGGAACTGCAGTCTCTCAACACGGAGGAGGCCATCGAGCAGCGCGCAGAGGTCGAGCGCATGTTGGCGTAAGTAAAGAGTTTTTTTATTTTATTATTATTAGAATAGTTTACGAATTAAATATCCGAACCAAAAAAATAAAACAATAATAGTAAAAAGTACTCATAATGATAATGAAATATTGCCCGGAAAAATTATAACGTTGTCTGTTACGCCGAAACGTGAAATTTTGAGGTTTCCAAACCAACGCGTCTTGTGCTGGTTATAATTTTAAAATTATTGAAAATTGATTTGTATTCTTTGTTCAAGTTTTAACCTCAATCACTTTAAGTCAGTGAAATAAAAACATGAAAAAATAGACATAGTATTGATATTGTTGGCCTACCTAATTCCATATAATAATAGTAATAATATGAATATGAATAATGTATTATTATTATTTAATTTCATATTATTATTATTATTATTATTTGTGTCCAAAACATACCCACGTGGAGTAATGTTATTATTCATTTTATTCTATAAATCATCAACTGAAAGATACACAGTGGCGTGTGATTAGAATGAATGGAGATCTGGTTATTCATTGTCAAAAGTTATAACTAACATTTCCCACTTAACCCGCAGACTAATCGTAGGCCTCCAAAATAAACAGACGAGTGTAGATTTGCTCTAATTACTGATGTCAGTGTCGAAAGCCGCAAATCTCGGCCTGTTCGCGGTAAGTCAGTTTTTTTTTACACAAAATAGTTTTCTTGACGAAAATTTTGGAAACTTCTCTTTATTCTTAAGCCACCACTATTTGCTTGTTTATATAATGTACAATAATAACAAAAACAATAATAATGATGATAATAATAATAACAATAAAGATGATGATGATGATAGCAATAATAATATTAATGATAATAATAAGAATAATAGCCTAATGTAGGTCTTTTGCATTTTTAAATTATCCCGATTGTTCAAGACAAGTTGATAAATCGATACATAAAGCATTGATGTAGTTTGCATTTGTTTGTACTTTTTATGAATCGCTTTTTATTCTCTTTATGTGGTATTTACTTTATTGTACTATTCAAACACTTTATAGGCTATACTGAGGTGTGTTTTTACTTGACTAACCTTTGGAACTGCTGAGCCCTGTTGAAGATTTAGTGGTGGCTTTATAGTACAGTTTCATGTCAAGGCCATATACATTTACCCATATTTGATTTACAAACAAGACCATTCCATATAAGACTATTCCGAAGCATTGCATTACACGAACCCTAAAAGCAATAGCTGCATTTGGTATACTTTTGTGTTTTGAAACAGGGCTAATTTTTCTTCCCTTTCGCATAGTGAGGACCCATGGCGTGCTGCCCGCATGATCAAAGGTTACATGCAACAACACAACATTCCCCAGAGAGAGGTAGTGGACATTACGGGTCTGAACCAGTCTCACCTCTCACAGCACCTCAACAAAGGCACGCCCATGAAAACCCAGAAGCGTGCGGCCCTCTACACCTGGTATGTCAGGAAACAGCGGGAAATTCTCAGACGTAAGTTAATATTTGAGTTTCTCACACCTCAGTCATGCCCGCTAATCCACCGACAGAAACATCATCTATGATTTAGCATTTAAATCTATGGGGAAGTTTCAATGGTTGTTAGTTCCTTAGCATGCGACAACAACACATTTATTATCTATAATAGAATGCTTGTTCTGATAAGCCTAAATATCTATATAGAAATCACTGAAAATGTATTTATTTTTGCAGAATTCAATCAGGCCCCAGGTGCTGGTGGGAGCATGTCAGACAAGGGTAACCAGGATCCAGTGTATTTTTTCCCAGAGTACAACCCTGGGCAGATGGGTCAGTCTGGGGATGACATAAGTGAACCGTCCTCCAAGAAAATGAGACGCAATCGTTTCAAGTGGGGGCCTGCATCTCAGCAAATCCTGTACCAAGCCTATGAGAGACAGAAGAACCCCAGCAAGGAGGAGAGAGAAGCTTTGGTTGAAGAATGTAACAGGTATTATATTTATGCTTCTGTTATATTGAAAGCAATATATCCAGTGTATTAAATTGTTTTGTTTCTTATAGAGCTGAATGTCTGCAGCGAGGGGTATCGCCTTCTAAAGCCCAAGGCCTAGGATCTAACCTTGTCACTGAAGTCCGGGTTTACAACTGGTTTGCAAACAGACGAAAAGAAGAAGCTTTTAGGCAGAAGCTGGCAATGGACGCCTTCAGCACACCAACCCACAGCATCAACCCACTGCTGTCCCATGGTTCACCTCATCACCAGACCAGCGCTTCCCCTCCCAGTAAGATGACAGGTAGAGTGTTTTGGAGGTTACCACTGGAACGATATATACTAAAATCAAGCTATAGTTATTATTTGTGCATCTTAAATTAAGTGTTGTATTTTATTATACTAAAAAAGAAGAGACCTCCCGTTGATGAGATCAGAGAGGCAGAGAGAGAGAGAACAAGTGATCAATGAGCATGACTGAGTGAGCTGAGCAAATGCCATTGTTATTCTGATCTTTGAAAACACACTGAAAACAATCCACATTGTACCTGCAATCTCCACTCCAAAGTTAGCATGAAGGGGCATGACACAAAAGCAACCCTCGTGTGACAGGCCGAGGTCAGGGGAGGGTCATGGAGCTTTTATTCAACACCATCATTTCTACATTTCCTTAATAAACCCTGTGCTAATGACACAGCTCAGACAAATGCTGACAAACTTCATGTTTGTGTTTGCCTTAATTAGTATTGACTGAGTAGGGCTAAGGTATATGAGAGGTGATAGGATTTACAAAGCATTATCCTGTGTCATCATTCACCCTCCATAAATCTGTGATTTGAGGGACTCAATCAAGCTCTATTGTTGTCTCCTCATGTTCGAACAGGAGAGAGAAAACAAACCGTTTGCCTTGACCCGTTCTTTTACCTGTGGATTAATTGGTCTCACTTGTAGATTGGTTGTTTGCTCGAAGTCTTTGTTGACCAGAACACCTGACCAAGCTTTGACCTCAGGTTTCAAAGTCAGAGAGGTCATTGATAAGGAGGTAGGAGAGAAGTCCTGAGCAGGAGGGAAGTCTCCATGGTAGGAGGCACAACTTCCTAAAGTTTTCTGCGGCTGCTTACAAGGTTTCCTGCTGGCTGGCTGCCGACAGCATCAGCTGTTTTTCAGTGTCAGCCCCAGGCTGACAATAGCCTCCCAGCAGGGTGTCTCATTGCGTTGCTAGGGCACAGGATCTATTATGCATGCTTAATGGACAATTAAAATCCTTTGCTACTACATCTCCAAGCCCTTTGATAAGACACTTCTCTGACTTCTCCTCTCTATACTCGGCCTCAGCAGGACTCCCTATTGTTTGCGGTGTATTAGAAGACTGCAGTGACTGTAGCCTAGGTTCATTTATCTCTACTGGGCCATGAGGGGCTATTTAAAAGCCCCCTCTCCTCCCTCACCTTTATGGGCATAGTCTAGTCCTGGGCCTGGTAGAAGGCTTGGGGTAGCAGAAGCTGTCTACTGAGTTATTGGCCAGACAGAACGGATAGTCTTTTCTTTGGGTATATAAAAACTACTGCGGTTGAAGATGACAGAGGTCACTGCTAGGTCAGAACACAGGAACTCCTCTTACTTTGGGAGTTATATTGATTTGGTTTCACCTCATTGATTAGTTTGTCACAATTGGATGAACAGTCAGTGTTTGGGTCATAGTATTCTCTACAGGGGTAGAGTTGTGAAACAAAAAGTCATAAACATTGTGTATGATTTAGAGTTTGGCGCACCACGACCCGTCTCTGTCTGGTTCATTCCTGACAATTTAACTACTACTTCCATTGGATTTTTTAATGTTCAAGTAACTTCCAGTAAACATCTTAAATGAGCAATTTCCTTTTTGTGTGCTATGTCAGCTGTTCCTAAAGACAAAGAACTAAAGGTTCCTGATCAGCTACAGAAGCGGGAGGGATGTTCTGTGGGCAGTCGCCTCAGGCTAGTCCAGAACCCAGAACAGAAGATGCCCCACAGAAAGTATACCTTAGCTCTGCACTTTCCACTGTCCCAAATCTCTCAGGGAACCACAAAAGCAATGGCTACGTCCTGCAAAGACACAGGAGGTCTGTCATATGCAGCAGCAGCACAATGACTGGTGCCTGGGGTTGGGGATGCATGCTTTGATATTACATGGGACACACAGGGAGCTCAAGCCTTTTAAACCAAGATGCTTTTTGCTGCCACTCCTCTGAGGTTCTCGCCCTCCTCCTCTCACTAAAGAAGGACATTTCCTGTACAGCGTTCTCAATTTGTAAATGAATTGTATTTCTTTTTAAATAGAACAATTTAAAGCTGAATAAATCTATGCACATAAATGTTGCATTTTAATCCTTTAATACACCTAACCTTTTTTTAAAAATGGCTTTCATTCCCCCTTGGAGCATTTAAAAGATCAGCGAGCTTCGAGATAACTGCCATTTTATGGGTCTTACTCTATAGTGTAGCAATAGGGGTCATGAGTCCAATTGAGTGCTTTATTGTTCTGTGGCAGCGTTTACAAGGCCCAGCCAAGTGTCGTGAGGTTTGTAGCTAGCTTTGTTGTGGAGAATAGTATAGGCCTGTTGGTCAACAATAATATATAAGCTTAGGCTTCTTTCTTGAATAAGTGTGTCTTTGACAGGTCATCCAATATACAGTATCTATATTATATCTGTCCAGTGTTGTTTGTGTTGAGTTAAGTTGATCCTGTGTGGTCAGAATGGATGCTGCACGGGACTGCCCCCTGGGTCAGGGACGAAGGGCTGGAGAAGATGTGAGATCGTTGGGCAAACAGTCAGTCACTGAGGGTGGGGCAGTGTCTGTGTGGGATAAGAATGTGTTTGACATTGGTTTTAATTGTGTAATGTTGACTCAGTTGATATCAGAGAGGGTCTGCATCAGCAAACAGGTATTTTATTGTCAATTGTTGAGAATGGGACAGTCTGTAGACCTCCAAGTGCAGTCAATTGAGACTTGATGTTAACATAATTTGGGATGAGAAGGCTGGTAATATTGTTATATGTGCTGATCAGAGACTTGGGAGTTTAGCTTCTGCAGTGAATGAGTGTACTTAGTGAATGGCCTTGGCTGAGCTGCGTTGATAGCAGCAGTAGACAGGTCAGTGTGCTTGTTTGCTCTTTCCTCCCTCTTCTGTCTGAGGCAAGGACCGGTGCGCCAGTATTATAGTTTTCAGAGTTTTCCAACCTTTAATATTTGAATAAACAGTTCCTCTCTATTTCAGTGCGGTACAGCCAGGGGGAAGTCACCTCATCGTCCAGCATCAATCATCACAGCAGCAACGCCATGGCCACCAGTCAGTCGGTACTGCAGCAGGTGTCTCCGGGAGGATTGGACCCCAGCCACACTCTGCTGTCACCTGACGCCAAGATGGTGAGTGAACACACCTGGGCCTCAGGGCCTTAGATTAGATAAGGACAGGCCTACATTTAGTATGAACGTACAAAGCGGGTTCCTGAACCTCCCATGGACCTACTGGCAAGAGGCAACAATCAGCACATTGTGCTGCTGTGTTTGGGAGTTGCAGATGAGGTGGCCATGGCTGGACTCGTTCGCAACCTTCAGCAGCGGCACCAGTCATGTTCATCACACAGCCAATAAACCTGACAAAGAAACATTCTGTTCCTATTGATCAAATGTTCAGCAAAGAGAAGTTTCAGGTGGAGTGCTGCTTACTCTGCCAAAGAAATGACTTCAGCTTTTGATTATGTGGTTTTTTTTTTTACTATAGCGAAAGCTCCGAATCCCCCCTTAGTACAATATTTGATCAGTGACAAGGAAATGATCAGTTGCATTTTAATTTCACTGTTCCAAAGTATCTCGATACTACTGAGATAACAGCAGAAACTACAGTAATCGACACTATGGAAATACAATTTTCTTTTAGCTTTGTTGTTGCCTGACCAGCCAGATCCTTCTACGTTCTGGTGGTTCTGGTTGATCAAGCCTAGTTTTGTCCCTTTTTTACTAAAATATTATTTTTAGTAAATGATCAAAAGACCAAACACATCTTTTCAATTGCATGTCCTTTTTATGTTTCAGATTTCTGGCTCAGGCGGTGGACTTCCTCCAGTGAGCACATTGACCAACATACACAGTTCCCATCACAGTCACCAGCAGACACAGAACCTTATCATGCCTCTATCAGGAGTCATGGCTATTGCACAGAGTGAGTCCACAGTACAGTACCTATGACAAACACACGCCTCAGTGCTCTCACCCGTTGCTTTGGTCTCACACTGTCCCTGCTTTTGACAGGTTTAAATTCGTCCCAGTCTCAAACAGTGCCCGTGATCAACAGTGTGGCGGGAAGCCTAGCAGCACTTCAGCCGGTCCAGTTCTCCCAGTCGCTCCACAGTCCACACCAACAGAGCTTGATGCAGCAGTCTCAGAGCCACATGAGCCAACAGCCCTTCATGGCCGCAGTCACGCATTCGCACAGTACGTCAATGCTACCATGCCAACTTGTAATAGACACTCATTTGAGGAAGTTGATTGACAAATATTGATATATTTCAGAACAGCTTTAGTAAGTAGGTAGGACAACGTCTATAATAGCACGTCTAAATAACCTGCTATTATTTAGATTTTCTGACTACAACCTATTGGACATGTTATCAACTTGGCATCCACTTTGTTTTATTTATCTTAACGTGCCTCCTTTTCAACAGTGTACCCACATAAACAAGAACCACCACAATATTCTCACTCGTCACGGTTCCCCTCGGCAATGGTTGTAACGGACGCCAACAGCCTTAGCACACTCAGCTCTATGTCCTCAAGCAAAACGGTGAGTCTTGTAACATTGCCAACCTATATTAGAAATTAAGTTATTATATATCACAACATTTTAATTGAAAAAAAAATCTACATAATCATTGCTAAAATTTGACATTTTTGTAAACATGTTGGACTTAAATCTATTTTACCATGTCAAAATTTGGCCCAAGTAGACATGTGTGTATTGATTGTGTGTTGTTTTGTTCAATGTTAGGACATACCTGTTAACAAGATGGTCCAACTTGGGGGCCTCTCTTGGGTAAATACATTTTTATTAGTTCAGCCCACCTGAAATGATTGCACCAAACCATTCATTTGATGTAATTTCAACATTGTCTTTCTTTCAAACCAATACGCACCTAGAACACTCCTCACACCTCTTATTTCCTTTTGGGTAGCTGCCTAATTAATCAGATCTCCCCCCCAGCTTGAAAAGTCCTTGATTAATGCATCCTCCTTTCACTTTCCAAGATCAGGAAATGAGCCCCACGCTGTTAATCAAAGTCCAGCCCGCGTTTTTCCTCACTGCTCCATGCAACAGTGAAGCTACAGATGAGGTGGCCGGGTCACTGGGGGTTCCTTTTGCCATTAATTACTTGCTCTTCCTCTTTCCAACTTCTCCCTGCTCTCCGTGAGCGCTCTAGCCTGAAATGTTGTCCGTGTTGGTTTCACACGCTCAATTTCCCACAGCAAAGCAGAGAGCAAACTGTAACGCATTTCTCAGTAAGAAGAATTATTTTTATTTTTTTTTCATTTTGTGCACGCTTATTTTTTGATACTGAAGGACACTTTATGTACTATAGTCACTTTTAATTGAATTTTATTGTACATAATATATATTGCAAAAAATAGACTATATTTTAACCTTTAAACATATTTGCACACTTCCTGTCTTTTTGCACACCCTTATCTTATCTTATCTAAAAACAGCAATACAGATTTTAAAAAGGGATTTGAAAATAGGTAGAGAGTCAGTGTATCGGAAAGTTCCAGAGCCGTGAATATATATGATATAATTAAATATCACAATATCAATTAGAATCACCATAATACAATATCTTTATAAAATATGACTAGATATTATAATATTATGGATGGATCATTAAATCTTAATCAATTTTAAGCAATCTCTACTAACTGAATGGTCCCCAGATAATCTTTTGCAACGAAAAACTTGGAGCACAGTTAAGAGTTTTTAAAATGCCAACAATACTAGTCAAGTAATAATAAAACAAGATATGTCTGAGATGCATTGAGCTAAATATAATATTATAAGTAAACAGTCAGTGAACGCAAAGGCAGCTGTGTGTTTTTGACTGTTCTTTTGTCTCTTGGCTTTTCTTATCAGCACTTAGCTTAAATTGGGAGAATGCGTTGGTATGGCACAACATCACCCTGTTTATCTGGAGACCTATTATATCCCAGTGTGTAATGACTCTGGTTGTACCCGTCCCATAGGTCAGCTTTATCAGGTGGGGCTGTTTGTTGGCTGCGAGGTCGCATCTGGGTCACGTGCTCCCTCCCCTTTAGGGGAAAAATAAATTCCACAAACAAATATACAAAAAAGAAACCAGGATTTCCACAGGCAGCAGAAGAAGGATGGGGATTTTATTTGGTCAGGTGTGGCACATGAGAAGGTGCTTGGTGGTATTGACAAAGGCTTCATTTGTCAGGGGCTCGCTGGGAGGCCTCATGGTGCATACAATTCTAATGCCACATTCATATCAGCATGCCATTGGGATATAAATGAATCATATTCTAAGTAACAATATAGTCATCACTATTTGGAATGCACTGTCAATGTTTAGGCGTTTAGTCGATTGTCGCTAGTGTTGTTTGCAAACAATTATTCTATTTTTCTAAGTGTTTCTTTGTGAAAATGGCCATACATGAGAAGATGTGGAGATACATGTTGGTACTTAATTTTACGTTCAAGCTAGATCAAACTCTCAATTCACATGTTTAATTAATGTTTGTCAATTTCTAAATAGTTCTGTTGGTTTATGCCTAAATAGTTGTTTTCCATTACATATAAGTACAGTTTAAATGTAATCAGATGCAAAAGATTTTTAAGTTTTTTAAGCTTGATTATGAACACAAATGATCCATAGATATGAAAAATGGCAAAACATGAAGAAATAAAAACAAAGATATCAGACTCTTTGTAGCAGTGTCCACACCTCTTTTAGTCAACTAATTGATGGACTACAGCCCTAATATTTTTAATACATTTTACATTTAGGTTGTGCTACCCCTAAAATTCATTATCCATATTTTATCATATTTTTCCAGAGCACTACTTTGACAGGAACTTTGAAACGTTGAAAACACAACAAAGTAACTAATACAATCCATGTAACTAGTTCCTGGCTGTATAATAGTTTGGTTCTGTAACTAGTTCTCACATACATATGCCTCTTACATCTTTAGCTCTCAGCTTTTTCAGTGAAAAGAGAGCACCAGCTATAGCTCAGCCAATCAGCTCTCAGAATGTAGACAATTAAATGTTTTCTAATGAGTTAAAGACAGCATGGTGTTACTTAAGTATTAATGATACAACGGCAGCAGTTAGATATTCCAGTTTGAATACCAGCAACTACAGGGGACATTAGAAAAAGAATATTTATGCTTTTTTTTTTTGAAGCGTTAACATTCCCGCCCTCTTTGCCTCCTTTCTGCTTTCAGTGTCCGCTTCAGGCTTGGTGAGCGCATCCACCTGACTTCCCCGGTGCCCGGCAACTACACCGCATTTTCCACCCTCACGCAGCCGTAACCCATGACTACGTGTGATAACTAACAAGCAGCGAACTGAAAGATGAGTCAGTCGACAAACACGGAGCGGTCTGCTGGTGGTGCATAGACGAAGGAAAATAAGAAAGACTCCTATGAGCGCACGGAGATGGACACAAGATTGTTGCACACTGATCAACACAGACTTCAAAATGTGATAACTATTTTTTGCTTCAACCACAATCTGATAACAGTATTGTATTTTTCTATTCCTCCTTTGAAGATTTTCTGCTATTGCGACAAAGGAACAAAAACAGCAAGAACTATAAAATATAAATGGACCTAAATGAAGGAGAATTTGAAGCACATTGATTTGAAGCGGGAGACAGAGACTCTTTAAGAGAATATATAATTTCTGGATGGCTTTGACAGAACCATCACCTAGCACACAGGTGGAAAAGTTTGACAATCACAGCCTTGGGGCATTAGAAATAGACTTTACTGGCCAAAAACATGTCTTCCACATCATTGTTTTATTTCTGTATTATTGGACTGCTTTTTTCAGTTCTTGAATGTTTTTTACTGTGATTGTACTTTGACAATCTTATGGACTATGCAATATTCAACTACTTGGTCTAACTTGACGAAATGGAGTAGATTCACACAAATTTTGAAGTCGATGAATGCTGCCTGTTAAAGCACACACGAAAAAAGCTATGCCAAAGGATAGTCATATTTTGAGTTCACCTCTCAAAGTTGACCTGCAAAGTTTATGAACCGGGTTTGCCTCAGGGGAGGTCTGACTCATGCCTTAACTGCGTCCCGTGCACTTCCATAGAAACCTCTGGCTAATGTTTGCGCACACATTCAGGTGCATTTTAGAAATAGCTCTCTCCACTCCTCCCCTCTCCCACTTCACCCACAATGTGAAAAGATACAACTTAAGGCGTGTAGACTATGCCCCCTTGGGAAGAATGAAAATATTGACAAGTATTTAAAACCAAAACATGATCCTAATTGTCTGGTAATAGGGCATCAAAGAATGCCTTGTTATGAGAGCAGCTTGTGTAATCATACAGGAATCCACTGAAGATAAAGAATATGTAGACTATTGGATATTACATATAGTTTTTATATTGTTATCTTGGTATTTTAGTCCAAAATGTTGCTGATATTTTCCCTTTTTTTTTTTTTCTCAGCTGCCAAGTCTGTGTGTGTTCATGTGTCATTCACAGATTATTTGAAGACACTATCAAGGACACCTGAGAATGCAACTAGGTTACAACTGGCTGTATGGTTGTTACAAATTTTCAACTAATTAATGTGTTTGTTTTATTTTATATGAAAAAGAAATGAATTTGCTATAAATTAACAAGAAATACGTAGCTTTACTTACATGCGATAAATTAAAACTTAAAACTTAAAACTTGCAAATTGGCCAAAGCAGCAACACAAAGGACTCCAGGACTCCCTTGAAAAAGAGGTTCTTAATCTCAATGGGACTTTCCTGGTTAAATAAAAGTGAAATATAACAATTATTTTGGAATATTGCCTAAAATCTACTGGGACCATCTCTAACTAAATCACCTCTCCACATATCTTTGACCCAAAGCCCCTTCGTCTGTTCAACATTAGGTCACTCTTATTATTGTACTGGTTGTTTGTAACTTTTTATTGGCACACTGACTGCCATGTAATCAGGCAATTATGTGACAGGATGTGATTTTATTGTATTATTTTGTATAAATTTGAAATCAATCATAAATCGTTATTTATACTTTCTGAGAAAATATTAATATTTCAAGTAAACATTTGTTTTTCTAAAATATTTGTTGTTTCATTACTTTAATAATTGTGGACAAATGCCACAAATTGTATTGAATGATCGCCTCATGACTGTAATCAAGAGTTTGTCTCTTGTCCCTGTGCTGACCTGCAGCCCTCAGGAGCCCTGCTGAGGGTGGCCTTGTAATCCACTGATGTTGCTGCATTTGCTTTTCAATAAGGCCTTTGATTTCCAGACCCAGGATGCCTCTAAAGATCTGAGAATGTATCTTTTTGAAAAAAGGAAACTGTCAGTTTCATTAGCATATGTTAGAGCTTAAAATACAACTTGATCCCATTCAAATTCACATTTATGTTATTTGTGCTACATTAGCCGCTTCTTGAGAAAACAACTTAAGGGCACCTGCTAATAACAATTGGGTGCATTTATCAAAGCCATTAACAAAGTGTTGAATTAGTTGTTTCATTTAATTGAGAGCAACACTTTTCCTAATAGACACTGTTAAAATTGCATGTGTTAAGGCTGTAAAGATGAATTGATTACTTTTTTGGTAAACTGTTTTAGTAACAGGCTACTTGCTGTATGTCCCCTAACAGACCAACACATGTGCTCTGAGATTATAACATACAATATCTAATTTATAATGAAAAAACAAAGTTTATGATGGAAATATGATGACCTCAAGCGCCCTCAAGCAGCTACTAAAGCTTAATCTGTGTCAAATCTAGATAAAATATGTGGGCAAAAACAACTAATCGATTCATTGAAAGATTTTATGGCTGGTACGGTGGCTGAGTGGGTTGCTCATGTCTCACAACAAGGTGGTTGCATGTTTGGATGTGTCCCTGTGTCTGGATGTGTTTCCTCTGGGTGCTCCGGTTTCCCCATCACCAAAATAATGCAGCATAGGTATAAAGTAAAGTAAATATACCTTACCTTAAACATACCAAGCCGCTAAATGTAGAGAATTTGCTCAAATACTGCAAAAACAAAGAGGTATTGGTGTTTTAGACACAGTTATAAAATCAGTCTATCAAAAACCTTTTTAACAAGCCATATTTAAGTGCGCCCCTCTTTGCAATAAATTCCTTATTGAATGCTAACAAATAGAAGCATTATTTATTGCTGAATCTACTCATTCTTAAAGACAGTCTGTCTCTACAAGGCTTGGTGCATTTGCTTTTTGAACTGCATGGTCCCACCATTACAGTCTGTTGCTTTTGTCTGACCCGTACCATAAAACCATTAAACGTTTTAAGTAGCTGTAACATGCCACTAATAAATCTGTTTGGGCCTTGGTTGATGGTAGTATGTTATGGAACCACTGGCAGGCCTTTAATATATAACTGTATATGAGAGTTATACAGAACAGATGAAATGGCAACTGGACAGAAGAATAAAGATGACACAGGGAGGTCAGAAGCCCAAGAAGAGGTCACCATGAAGAGCGACACAACAGCGCAGGGAACGGAGAACAACAAAGATGCGGAAAGTGGAAGCGGTAGGCTGAATGTGCCAGTGTGTTTTGCAGTAGCAGAATAAAAGATACTACATCAACTCCAGCCGAGGCCCAAAGAGTTAATGGATAAGACTACACAGCAGGGGCCAAGGGTCAGGAGGCCACTCTGCACCAGGGCTAATTGGTCACTCCGACCAAGAATTACATCAAGTTTCTATGGAGAAATACATACACATGTATGGAGCTGCTGTGACAGGACTCTTCAATCACCTCTGGGATCAAGGGTCGTGACGTAGATCCGTCAGGCCTCCATAGACACAATCAGCCGCCTTCAACCTGCATAACCGCTGCTCCCACCTACAGAGAACCAGGAGGCATTAGGCTCGAGAAAATGGCCTCCTCTATTATAAATGTTTTTAAAAATATTTATATTCTAAATGGCCGCGACCCGGCAACGGATGAAACGGAAGAAAATGGATGGATGGATGGATATTCTAAATGTCACTAAAATGTAGCTTAACACGTTTGGCTGGATTTTTCCCACCCACATGTATATTTTAAAAAAGCTTTTCACTACGACACACTGTTCATTTGCGATGATAATTGTTGGCATGGTTGTTGGAAAGGGTCTATATATAGGGTCTTGGTTGTGTACAGAATGAACCTGACAGACTGATGTTGTCATGCGGATCCTGTCAGGTTGATGCTGGACATGTTAATGATTTATAGCGAGTAGTGGGATGTCAGAATGGGACCCTGGTTAATGTTCAGCTCTCTCCAGACCTCTGGGGAGCAGCCCACTGCCCCAAAAGAACAGGGGACACAAGTGACTGGTGTCCTCCAGCTAAACCTGGCACACTCAGCAGGTGGTGGCTCAGCTCAATGCACAAACGCCTGTGAAAAGGATCAGCAAAAAAGGGTGAATTTTTTGATTGGCTGTTGAAATGAGAAAAATATTCAAAATAATTGAACGCATAAGGACTATGGAGATTTTATCATAGGCCTTGGATGATGACATGATTAAAGAAAAGAAATTTGAGATGCACATTTTTGTATGACCATTTCTAATGTCAAACTCACCACAAACTGGCAATGTTTCAGGCTGACTAAATAAACAAGATACAAGGTTCTTATGATTTCAGATATATGAGAATCTAGAATTAATGTAATAGAGATAAAAAAATTATATACAAGCCAATGTATATTTCAAATGGAGGAAAAAAGTCCTTAAAATGTAGCATGTCACAGGAAGCTGAAAGTATAGGGATATCGGACGTTTCTATTGATGCAATTTCTCTGTTTACTGGCTGATATTAATTCAGAATGTCATTATCAACTACTTATCTACTGATCAGGTAGATCAGTAGATAATGAAAACCTAAATATCGACATTAGTATAGGACAAAAAGAAGCTAAATTTATGCATTCCTCAATAAAACCAAGCAAAAAATTCAACTTAGATCAATATATTACAGAATTATCACTGAATATTACTCTAATTAGAATCTGTTATCTAATGGACCAAAACTTAACCCGTATGGTTCTTAATTAGCTGCATTTCTCCTTCTGTCACGTATAAATCACTTGTGTACAAAAGAGCCGGGATACAAGGAATGATAAAAGGAAGATCAGGTGATGGATAGTAATCATCCACTGTAATTAAGCTGTAAATCCTTCACTGTAGCTTTTAAAACAATGACCACGGAGCTTTTTACTTGTTGCTCCACCTTGTCATTGGTGTAACAATGAAACAGCCAACTGAATGGCACAATAACTACAATGGAACTAATGCCTGAAATGTTGGTCGCTAGGTTTATCAGATCAGTATTTCAGACTTTCACAATGTGTTTGTACAACACTTGGGGTTTTAATAAATGATGACAATGAATAAGGTGCCATTTTGATTATTGTAAACACATTTCAGAATTTAAGGTTAGTTTAAATTGATTTGAGCTATATTGAATATACCCGTTCTTGAATGTTTTAAACCATATTTAAATAGGAACACGCTAAAAGATTTCAGTTTTGCGTAAAATGGGATAAATCTACGGGCTGTAGTTAGTTTTTTTCTCCTGTAGAATCTCAATGCTACAGTCTGAATTGGTTATCATTCTGAAACAAACAAACATTGAATTACAAGAAGCATTCTAGAAACAACGTCTGCACAGTGAACACATTATACAATATTTACCTTACCTTCTCCTGTTTTGTTACTTGTAAATTTTTTTAGCACGCGAGAAAATTACCATTGAGGGAAAACCATAGACTGTACTGTTCAACACTGACTCCTGCTGGAGAATAATGGTGCTACAATATCAGATAATTTGTTTACCATTTCTTTGTCTTTCAGGCTAAAAATAAACATATTTTGTTTAGATGTATTACCGTTTTATCATATGATATTTTTTTGTGTGGATAATATTTATTTACATAGAAGGTAAATTAACGTCTGCGCCTGCGAGACCAAACCCAGGGCTTTTGTGTTTCGCAGGGCTGGAGCATGGATGACGTCATCCAGCGATTACGGTCATCAAGATGGCGCTGCGACCAGGACCTGGGGGAGGTGGCAGGTATTTGGGCCATTTAAACCCTTATCTTTAACATCTGTGATCTATTTACTACATTACACACATTTAAACCAAATTTGGCCTTTGGATTAATGTGCGACACTAGTCAGGATGGCGCCAGCACTTATTTTGAAGTCGAGGGAGGCTTATGTGATGAGATGGCTGGTTGTCAGGTGCCTGCGTTAACAGCTAGATTTGCAACCTGTATGGCTGTCATTTTATCATTCATCTGAATTTTTCTTGGACCTTACTGAACACAATGTTGTGGATTTTTCTACCAGAAACATGTTTGACTATACTGGCTTTAATATGCATAATACATGTCTTATGACGGTACACAGGCCTCCAAACAGCTGATCATCTTCTGTCATGTCTGATTCAAATGCATTTACAGATTGGTTCGTTCCTTTGTACTTACTCATGTATTAAAGATGCTTTCTACTACAGACCCTGTGTACGTCTTGGAGCAATTTACAGCCGGTATCACCCTGAGTTGACTCGTAATTTATTCATGACAGATTTTGGGCTCTATAAATAATTGATGTGTTCCTGTTCCGTGTGTCTTAACTTACTGAAGACAGTGATCCAACAGGTGAAACTCAAACCAGTAGCAGATCCTAATAAAAACGGATATTCTGCCTAATGAAGAAAGCAAGTGTAAAACGTGCAGGAAATTTGTATAAGATGTGTCCTTATACACGTTGTGTTCAATCAAATGTCCTATGGCAGCACTGTGTCACAAATGCGTGCTATTATATTAGATTAGGTTTTATATTTCCATGTCATTTTAAGTATCTCAATTAGTGCTTTAGGTTCCATTTTCTATTCATCGTTGTAAAAGGTCTAAAATGAGTCAAGCTGATTTATTGCATTTTAGATATAATTTTAGTTTGTGGACTATGTCTTCATATTTAGATCTTTAGAAAAGCAGCTTGTTCAATATCCACCAAAGAGTTTGTCCTTGGTTAATAGAGGCTCTTCAGAAGAGATGGCACTGACAGCTTTCACAGCTGCTGTTGTTGCTGCTTATCTCTTTGGATGGATGTTAATCTGTTCTTCATCCTGCGAGTTATGTTCAGCACTGAGAAAGATAAAAGCTTTGGAAGCTGCATGTTTTGGGCAGCAGATGTCAGCATCGGAAAGCTCTTCAATCAATGATTTCAGTTCTTGATTTCATTCAGTGTTATTGTATTAGTAATGGACTTGGGTAACAGCTGATAAAATAATTTATTCATACAGCATCATTTTTGGGAGAAATATGTTCATCTGTAAATAGCTACAGGCATGTGCTGACTCCAGTCAGTATTTGCACATTTCAATGAATCTTAAAGGGTTGTTTCTCAGAATAACGTGTGATGACACAAAATATTGAACTGGTATTATTGAAAAAAATAGTTGTTTGTTTGTTTTTCATTTTGCTCATTCAGATGATTATTGAATGAATTATGTATTTATATTTTCACAGCAGTCATTATTCTATGTTTTATTCTCCTCAGCTTTGTGTACCCAGTTGGAGGAAGTTTAGGTCCACAAGGTCAGTAATTATTGTACAATATTTTCTGATATTATCTGATTTAAAAAGTACACAAAAAATTAAAATAATAGTTTTAATTAAGTTAAAAACAAACACTTTGTGTGGTTTTAATTCAAATACACTTACTGCATTTAAACTACAGAGTAAATGAGGCTTTTGTTGTGGCTTTAGTGATTTACATGCTTTACCTGTTCTAATGTTTTATTATGGAAGCACAAGATATTTTATTCTTGTTCTTTGATGATAATTTAGCAGCCGGAGCTACTTTGTAAACATTTTCTTGTGCAGGTATGGTCCCCATGCAACAACAGCAGCAGCCTCAGCAGCAGGGCTTCCCTATGGTTCAGGTCATGCAGCCCAACATGCAAGGAATGATGGGAATAAATTTTGGGGGGCAAATGCCTCCTGGTTCCATGCAAATGCAGGTGTGTTTTTATTATTTCGATTTTGTTTTGTATAATCAAGAAATAACTATGACTATTGGCTAAACAAATAACTTTTTTTTACGGCTCGTTTCTCTCAACAACAGGGCGGGATGGCCATCGGGATGCAGGCGCCTGGGATGCAGTTCATTGGTCAACCTCAGTTCATGGGCATGCGACCGGCTGGGCCACAGTACACGGCAGACATTCAAAAACAAATGGTTGAGGAACACCAGTAAGACATTGTGACAATAATGCTCCAACAAAGTTGAATGATATTTTTATAACATGCTTGTCTTGTGCAGAAAACGCTTGGAACATCAGCAAAAGTTGTTAGAAGAAGACCGGAAACGACGACAGTTTGAGGAGCAGAAACAGAAGCTACGGCTGCTGAGTAGTGTGAAACCCAAGGTTTGTTTCAAGATGCATTTTGTCTTGTGCAATAAATATTCCAATATATTATGTGATAGTTACACTATTATTAGTCTCAGACAGGAGAGAAGAGTCGGGACGATGCCTTGGAGGCAATAAAAGGCAATCTGGATGGTTTCAGCCGAGACGCTAAAATGCATCCTACGCCATCAGCACAAAGCAAGAAGCAAGGTAAATGTACTTATAACTCACTTTCCTGCAACGCTTTCTCATAAGTAAGTATAACATATGAAATAATGTGGACTATATGTTGTCTTTTTTCCTGAACTAGTTCAAAATACTTGTGAGAGAAGTATGTATTTGAGAAAAAAAAAAAATCATCTTTCTTTTATACAAATATGCGGTATTCCTATGTTTCACATTATTCTTCCGTAGTTTGTGCCATTATCACTGCTTCTTCATTTTTGCAGACTCATCGTCATCACATCCATCTGTCTCCACTCACTCCCTCCCCTCAACTCTGTCAGAAGAGAAGGATGAGTTTAGTGACTTTCAGGGTCCTGTAGAGATGACTGCCTCCTTCCCTTGCTTTCCCTCATCCTCCACCTCTGATTTCACCCCTCAAGCCCACCCACAGGCTTCACCCCTTAACCATAAGATTTCTGAGGATGATGATGAATTTAGTGACTTTGTTCAAGGACCTGCCAAAACCTTTACCCCCGTAAACCTTAACCTGCCCTCCCAAGTGCCTTCTCAGTCCCCTTCCTTAAGGACAGGTGTGTCTTCCTCCACTCCATCACAAACCTCTCTCTCAATTCATTCTGCTGTCAGCACCAGTTCCCAAGCTACATTTCAAGGTAATTTTTCCATCCTTACTCCCCGCCTCCTCACTCCACTTGATGAAACAAGAACGATAATTAGATAAATAATTCTCATTGCTATATCTGCTCTTCTTGCCAATGCGGAATATATCACATGGTACTGCGACATGTATTTCACAGGAAGAAGCCACATCACATTCAAACTGTTAAACTTGATATTTAAAGTTTAATACTCATTCACTTCTTTAGGCCCGTCATTGGAGGAAAAGCTATTCTCATCCTGTGACCTGACAGGTGATAAAATGGCCCAGGTTAGCTTTAGGTCAAAGCAGAGCATGGCTGGAATGGGTCCTAAGAATAAGGTTTCAGCCCGGTTTCATTCAAGCACCAAAGCAAGGGATTGGGCTGCTTCCAGTGAGGACTTGAGTTCCGTCTTCACCACAGAAAGTTCTCCTGAAGTCCCTCTGTCAGCACCTGTGCAACCAGCAGCTGCTGACTCATCCTCTCAATCCAGTAGAGAAAGTGGTGAGAGAAGCCCCAGTTTTTTTAGATGCCCAGCCTCTCCCCTTCTGTTGCTGCTCTTCCATCATTAATGCTTGCCTTGTTTTCTACCACATTTTTATATCAAAGCTTGCAATGCACCGACTATGTGATGGTAAAGATATGTATTTTCTCTGGCTGCTCTTTTCTTTATCAACCAGGTGAATTGAGATACTGGTCTATCAAATGAAACTTTGTTCTCTAGTACTGCCTTTTCTTCATAGTGGTGGTCGATCTGTGCATATACATGTACTTAAAACACATAACAAAACTGACAAACTTCTTTGATTCACCATTCAACCAAACTGGTCTGGCATTTTGCTACAATCAGTACTTTCCAAACATTCTCTGCTTTCTGACTTAAGCCATATCCATTTTTCACACATATGGTTGCCTTTGATTTATTCTCTCAAAACAGAATCAAACTGAAGAAACATTCAATCAAGGATGTGATGCTGAACAACTAAACCACATATTTTTAATCAATAGTTATTAATTACGTTTATATGTGATACAACAGGTGTTGGTGTGTTTCAACAACAAGAACATATCCAGTCTATATTGCCTGCCTGGGTTTACAATGACAGCCTTGTTCCAGGTATATTGATCACTGGGCACATTATATTATACAAACCATAAGAAGTAATTTTGCTCAAATCCATGTTTCTTTGTTTGAATTTCAGAGATGTTCAAAAAAGTTCTTGAATTTACCATGACTCCAGCTGGGATCGATACAGCCAAGCTCTATCCCATTCTCATGTCATCTGGACTTCCTCGAGAAGCGCTGGGCCAGATATGGGCATCGGCCAACCGCACAACACCGGGCATGTTGACCAAAGAGGAGCTCTACACTGTGCTCTCTCTTATTGGTGTTGCACAGGTAAACACCATTCTTAAATTTAAGGAATAATATCACAATTTGAAAATAGTTATGAAAGTAAAACAGGTTTGTTTTCACTTCTTGAGATAATGTTCATGTTGTTATTTTAGAGTGGCCTCCCAGCAATGAATGTGGAAATCTTAAATCAGTTTCCATCTCCGCCTGTTCCTAACCTGCCCGCTCTGGCGTTGGCCTTGGCACCCGTTATGCCACAACAGCCGCTAATGACCCAGCCTCCAGTATCAATGTCCATGCCGACTCCTGCATCATCTGTCATGCCTATGGCCCCTGCCGCGCCCGCTCATGTACCTGCAAACACAAACTTCATTGCCAATTTCCCCCCTGCTCAGGTACCTCCTCAGTCTTGTATTTGTTCATGTTGTTGATGCTGTCTTTAACTATTGTGTACGATGTTTCAGGCGACAAAAACAGATGATGATGACTTTCAAGATTTCCAGGAGGCGCCCAAACCCGGGACAGGAGACTCATCTTTCACTGATTTCCAGGGAGGGTCGAGTAGTAGCTTATCTGCCTCTGTTCAATCACAACCACAAAACAGGTACACACCAGTTGTACCTTTCATGTAATATTCTCCCTGCATTTTTCATTTGAATATGTCATTGTCAGCATTTCAGTGTTTGTTTTATTTCTATAGTAGCATATCTTAACATTGAGTATGGGTTGTTGCTTTGTGAATGATTCATATTGGACAAATGTGATAAAACGTATGAATGTTTTCTTACAGCGTGCCAGCCATGCTTACTCCTGTGTCTGGCTCCAGTTCTGCCTCATCTTCTGATAAATACGCAGTCTTCAAGCAGCTGTCTTTGGATCAGCCTGCAGAACCTCCCCCTCCCTCTTCAGGTACCTTTTTATGGCAACGGGAAAACAAGTTTGATCATAGGTCTTTTCTAATGTTGCTATGTTTGTTTGTGTCCAGACAGTGGAGACAAATACAGTGTGTTCCGACAGCTGGAGCAAAGTGCTGACAAGAAACCAGTTGGTAAGAAGCTTTTCTACACAATATTTTACCCCTGGCTCACCTGACTGCAACTTTGACGCGGCATTGCTGTGCTATTATTACCTATTTTTGACCACACGCCAGTTTCCCTTTTTATTTATTTATAATACCCCCAATGCTCTCAAAAGCGCAACTACTCATAGCCACCACTGACCACTGGTGTAAATCATATGATAGGTTCTGAGATTATTGTTCAGACCGTAGCAGAGGAAAAGTAGGATTTATATTTTGAATTGAACTGAACTGCTCACACATAGTACAGATTGCGAAGACTCCCAGGCATCATTGTTCATATACATTTTTCCCATGCCTATTTCATTAGAGCAGTTTCCGATGCAGACAGCTTTCACAGCGACAGTAAGTGGAGTTTGCAGTGACCTTTGCTTTTATCTTCTATCTTTCACCAACACTGTGAACAGGTTTTCTATTTCAAAACATTAATATCTAACAGTTTGTTGGTGCTGCTCTGGACAAATATGCATTCACATTCCAACTTGTATCATCATAGCCAAATGTTTGTGATCGCTGCAAACATTGACAATTTTTTTTGGATGCAGTTTCTGAAACGATCCTGATCAAGTTTTACCAAGCGTTGTGTGCATTAATTTATTTACTGTAACGACTGGTATAATATCAATGTCCCTTCTTTGGTATTCTCATTTTATAGACTTGTTTTTAATGCTTTTGATTTGATATATTCATTCTTGTGTCCTTTTTTTGTCATTTTCATGCATTGTTTTTACACAATTCATGCAAACTGTATCTTTAAAACCAAAACCAACAAAGAATAAAAATAAAACATTTTATACTTAAAAGCTTGATACAAAAGACAGATTGAAGGTTTTCTACCATCATCTGTAGAATGGAGCGTCTTAGCCTAATATTAAAATATACTAAAACTATATAAGATGAGATAAGATAGACTGGATAGAAACACTCAAGATTGTGCAAAAGAAAGAAATGTGAAAACATGCAGTCAAGAAACAGTGTCAATAGTAGTGCAGGTTTTTCAGTCCTAATGCAAGTGACTTAAAGTGACTTATTGTACAGTCTGACAGAGGTGGGGATAAAGGCCCTGCGGTAGCGCTCCTTCCTACACTGAGGGTGCCTCAGCCTTCCACTGAAGGAGCTCCTCAGCTCCTCTACAGTCCTGTGCAGTGGGTGGGAGGTGTTGTCTATGATGGAGGTGACTTTGGCTAGCACCCTCCTGTCCCTCACCTCCTCCACAGAGTCCAGGGAGCAGCCCAGAGTGGAGCTGGCCGTCCTGACCAGCTTGTTGAGTCTGCTCCTGTCCCGCTCTATGCTGCCCGGGGCCCAGCACACGGCAGCGTAGTAAATGGCAGAAGCTACCACAGAGTCATAAAAAGACCTGAGCAGAGGCCTGCTCACTCCGAAGGACCTCAGGCTCCTCAGAAGAAAGAGGCGACTTTGGCCCTTCTTGTACAGGGCATTGGTGTTATGGGACCAGTCCAGTTTATTGTAAGACTAAAATATATAACATATAATTACATACTTTACTAAGAACAAAGAAAGTCAATTAAAAAAAGCTGTAATGTAGAATTTAGGGTTTTGGTTAAGCGTCAATCAACAAGTTTTAAGTGAAGATAGGCCTGCCTTCTGATTGCCTACTATGCATTAGACACATTTATATTGTAATGCTATTATTCATCTACATTATGAATTCAGATGTATTTTTGTAATAACCAATGTTTTACTGATGTTCTTCTTTTCACAGGGGAAGGATTTGCAGATTTCAAGTCTGTCAGTGCTGATGATGGCTTCACAGACTTCAAAACCGCGGACAGCATCTCTCCATTAGACCCTTCCGAACAAGCAAAGATCTTTCAGCCTTCTTTCCCTTCTTCGTTTCCGAGCTCTCAGTCTCTACAGCAGCTCCCACAGCAGCAGCCAGCTGTAACTTTAACTCAGTCCAAAAACCCACTCAATATGGCTGACCTGGACCTGTTCTCTTCTATTGCTCCATCTTCTGTCTCTGGCCCCTCTGAGGCCAAATCTAGCACATTTCCTACTGTTGCTGTACCCCCTTCTTTAGTACTTCATCCAGGTGGACCTATGTCGGCATCTGGTCCTGCAGAAGACTTTGGTGACTTCGCTTTGTTTGGTTCGACTTCTGAGGTTGCCCCAAATGCAGCAGCATCAGCAGGAGGCAGCTCAACTGTGCCCCAAGATGACTTTGCAGACTTTATGGCATTTGGTAACTCTAGCAAGGAAACTAACAACAGTGCAGGGACTCGGCGAGAGACCTCCAGGTCTCACCAAGGCTCAGACAAGTATGACGTGTTCAAACAGCTGTCTCTAGAGGGCGGACTGACCTATGATGACTCAAAAGAGAGTGGCGGGGGCTCTTTCTCTTCTCTCAAGAGTGACAATGATGACTTTGCAGACTTTCAAGCATCCCAGTACTGTACAGCCCTGGGTGCCTCTGAAAAGACATTAGTGGACAAAGTGACAGCATTCAAACACACTAAAGAGGACTGTGCCTCTGTCAAGTCTCTCGACCTCCCGTCCATCGGTGGCAGCAGCGTGGGAAAGGATGACTCTGAGGACGCGCTCTCCATGCAGCTGGACCTGAAACATGACGTTGGTGGAGACTTGAAGCATGTGATGTCAGACAGCTCCTTGGACCTACCTGGACTGTCCTCCCACCAGCCCCCCGCTACAGGTGAGGAGCTCGTGCGCTTGCTCTGGTGAGGCTCTTGGGTCAGACACATTCAAAAACTCTGTGTCTATTATTGGCTCCAAATTTGAGTAATGGTAGGTTAAAAAGCCCAGGACAATTTGGACACTTAAAGCATATCCATTTTTCTCATACATTTCAACAATCCATACAATCCATGAATCATTCATCTATTTTATTATTTATTTATTTAAGTATAGATTATTTTCACTGCATCTTTACCATAATTTACATGGAATTGTATTTACATCCTTATCGGTATTTGTTCACTACGGCTGTGTTGGCTGCCATTGGTCCTGCGATTGAGGCTATTGTTTTTGGCTACGATAAGTCCTCAGTGTTACATTGTGTCTCCACAGACAGTGTGGTGTGTGCTCACTATTAACCGGTCGACTGGTGCTGACAGGGGCTGGCCTGAATTCCCCTGAATGAAAGAAAGTTCAATTTGATAGGAAAAGTTGTCTTTTATTGACCGATGTTGTAGATGTGATTAGTTTACTGATGATTAATTGCGTAAGCTTTCAGTATGAGAGTAAAACACTTTGGATTTAAATAAGCAAAGTAAGCACTAGTTTACATCTTCTATATAAGTTTCCAGTATTTCAGGTACTTTACTTAAATGATTGTACATTGTGATTTTAGTTTTCCTTTAAGTTATGTATTTGACGTTCTTCTTACATTTCTTTTATTGCATTACTTTTGTGGAGATGCCCATTCTCGGTCCACCTCGTGCTCGTCTGTGCTCCATTGTTTTCAGTGGTCTATTATTCATTACGCTTCTCATTTACCACGGCTCTAGTTTCAGGGCATAACGGGACTCGACGCTGCACATGTCCCTGTACATTCCATTCATTTAATTTAATTTAAATCACTGATCATGATTTGACCAAGTACGTGATCATTTAACTGCTACCCACTATCTGCGTTCAGACTCATCGTAGGCTTAACGTTATTGGTTATATGCAGATGTTTGCAACTTTTGTCAACACAAAATCGCAATGCCTTATTTCAGTACCCATACAATGTAGTTCAATGACTTTGTTTGGCCTTTATGTGAAAATATGTGTAACAGTGTTAAGACCAGAATTGTAGTTTCATGAGCTGCAGCAAACAGTAGGGCCGTACCTCTTTATTATGGAGCAGTATTAAGTTATTACAGCATGGATTTACCACTTGTTGCAACCGTCCACTAGTCAACATTGTTCAATTCTGCATTGCCCTTCCTGCCTTGCTTTTTGCTGCAGTATGCCTGCCTTTACAATTTGTGAAATTGACAAGAACATTATTACAAGCTTATGCATAACAGTATTGCAAGTTTTTATTCTGAGAGAAATGTATAAAGATCAAATAGTATTTTTATTACAGGAATATATACGCTTTTATTGTGGAATGGGAAAAAAAGGCTTCTCAACATGCGAAATGTCACATTTAATAAAGTAGGATTCACTTCTTCTCTACAAATCTAAACAGCTTTGTCTTTGCTTTCATCTGTGCATTTTGGACTGCTAATAAACAATCTCTGTAGCAATAGACTATTTTATGTTAGTTTTTCTTCTCTGTAAAAATGGCCCCTCTGATACCTGGTGATGGGTTTCTCCTGTTTCTATAACCCTCTGAGTGCCTGACATCCTGATAATCAGTCAAAGCACAGTCATTCCAGGAAAACGCATTTGGCTTTATGTTTTTAATTTTATTGTACAGAAAAACATGAACCTTCAGGCGCTCAAAGGGTTAACAAATTCTACCTTGAGCATTTAAATGTGGCTTTCAAATGTTCAGTTCTTCTTTCGAAATCATTCTATCAAAATTAAAACCATCTTCCCAGAATAACTGACTTGCTGTGAATGTGCCTTCTTCTCATTCTGGTTTCTGCTTCTAATATCCAAAATCAATTGTGATTTCCTTTTACAGTTTGTTTTCTTACTTTGATCAGACTCTGCATGCCCTGTACTCCTAATGACTAAAGCCTACATTTTCAAGTGTTAGTTTGACAAACCTCTTGTATTGATAGAGCTCTTTTACAACTTTGTGACGCTTTCCCTCTCTCTCTCATGTTGTTGTAATAAATATTACTGTTGGAATTGCTGCAACATGTACGTCTTATTTTGTCCTTTTTTGCTTGCACAACTTGTATCTTTCCAGTAACACAACGCAGATAGCTGTAGGTCCTTGTCAATTTCACAAATTCCTCTTGAATTGAGTTAAGTAGGATGTTGTGTGTGCATGTGTGTGAATGCATGTGTGTGAAGTCCTTGCTTTTGACACACAAACAGAAGGCCTGCATTAGTGTACAGTACTACAGGACAGGTAGGGTTCACATATAGGATTATTAGAAGATAATTTATTATTATTACTAATTATTATTAATAGTATTATTATTATTAATAATAATAATAATTATTATTATTATTATTATACTGATGGGTGGAAAGTATTGTAAAATATGTTTTTTGTTTTTTTTTCAAATCACATTCATGTTGTTTCTCTTTTCTAAACTTGCACAAAACATCACTACTCAGTCCATTAATTCTTAAGTAATCTTAGGTATATTTTTTGTAGCTGTATTTTTATTGATTGATTTATTGCATAGATTTGCTTACCATTTATTATATTGAACTTGGCCAAAGGTGGACTGTCTTACTTTTGAAAGAGTGTTCAATAATAAGTAACAAATAAAGTAAACTTGCTATAATGCACCCGGCTCAACAGGACACCTACCAAAATGATTCATGATCGACTCCTTAGAGCCAAATGGGGGGTGGGTCTGTTGGGTGGTTGGTTTGATGGATCATGGGCGTATTGGACTGTTTTTAACCAGAATTCAAAGCACTTTGTGTTGCATATATTTGTATGAAACAAATACAAATACAATTTGATTGATTGAAATAGACACAGAAGCACTTGAAATCTGCCCCCAAAACCACTTGAAGGAATTACAAAACACTAACTCAATGTGTTGCCAATGCAGTCAAATATATACAAATCATAAAAATAATGTGTCAGAAAGCTCAAATACCCACCACATATCTTCATTACTCCAGGAACCACTTGTTGTATGTCTGTTGTCATTTCAGAAGGAGATGACATGAAATTTGACCACTTTGAGACCTCCGCACTCAGCACCTTGGCAAACTACGACTGGTCTGAGCAGGAGGAATGCATCTCTGCTGACAGAAAGCCACCAGCTCAGGAGGTGTTGTCCCTTCCTTCTTCTGACTCGACACGCCGAAAGGACTTCAGTTTTGGAAGCTCTGAAAACATCACTGGAACCTCACTGGGGAAGTCTACCAGCTCCTTTCCCGCTGAGGACAACAAGTTTGCAGCCTTTGCAGATTTTGGAGTTGTGGACCAGACTGGTGTTGAGGATGATGATGATGATTTTGGGGACTTCGCCAGCACAGTTTCTGAGAAGTCCGACTCTCCGGCTGCTGTCACAGAGACGGGGTCAGACGGAACCCAGAGCGAGGCCCTGGATGAGTTTGGGGCCTTTCAAGGAGACAAGCCCAAGTTTGGGAAGTCGGACTTTCTCAAAGCAAGCACCCAAGCCAAAGTGAAGTCCAGTGAGGAGATGATCATAAATGAGCTAGCAACTTTTGACCTTTGTGTTCAAGGTGAGTGTTTCAAGATTTGTACATGTAGACACTAAACTAACACATGTTAAACACTTGGCTCTCAACATTTCTGGGATTATGATTTGTGCAATATGGTAAATCAGTCAGTTATAAGCCTAATGAATGAATAACTTTCTCCTATAATTAATATTTAGCAAGTTTCAGATTAGCAGTGCGATAACATTACTAAACAGTAGATGGCACCGTTGAGATGGTGGTGTAATTCACAGAGAGTAAAGAAACCTTAAGCAAATTGCAAACAATTTGACCTGGAAATAATTTTTGATATTTATACATGTCCTTGCATTTTGGTAAAGTGACAGTAGCTAAATTCCAAACAGCTACAATTGTAAATACATATTAAAATCAATCTAACCAGTTGTCAAACAGTTTTGTTCTATCACAAGTTCACATGCATGCATTCTTTGGTCTCTGTTGTAGCTTTCAATCAGCTTTTTCAGACAGAAAAGTGAAAAAGTCCAAAGCGTCAAATAGTGACTCAAATTGCTGTTTCTTACAACCATGCAGAAGTTAAACGTTTTCTTGTGGTCTGATGTGATCACAAAATATTACTTTTACTCTGTTGAAACCATGTGATAACATATGATCAGAAGTCTCATGGGTAAAGAATCAGCTTAGGATCTTAACAGCTTGTGGTTCTCTGGCAAAATGTGTCTGTAAGTGAATAATTAATGTATGCATTTTGTGCTATTTGATAATTTTATAGTAAATCACCCCTAAAAGTATTTGCTTGTGCCATAGTTAGATCCAGAATCTAGAGTCTGTTAAAAAACGTTACATGTTCTATGAATAATTTTGTTTTATTCCCTTACCTAACCCTTCTCAGGTTCACATAAGAGAAGTCACAGTTTAGGTGAGAAAGAAATTGGGCACTCACCCCCCTCTCCAGCTCCAGAGCAACACTTCAGGGACCGCTCCAACACCTTGAATGAGAAGCCTGCACTGCCTGTCATAAGAGATAAATACAAAGACCTGACCGGAGAGGTGGAGGTGAGACAGACATGGACTAGATGGATTTACCACTTTATGAGAAACTAAATGTCTGCTATTGTTTCTTAGGAGAGTGAACGTTACGCATATGAGTGGCAAAGATGTCTAGAAAGTGCTTTAGAGGTTGGTATTTAAAGCTTCGGTTTGGATGAATTCAAATTGTAAGGAGGCCTTCCCTTTGTCATTGTTTGTCTACAGGTAATTACTAAAGCTAACAACACACTTAACAGTATCAGCAGCTCATCTGTCTGTACTGAGGTGATCCAGTGTGCACAGGGCATGGAGTATCTGGTTGGTTAGTAATTTTTTATCATTTATTTCAATTCATAATGCATGTCTGATAGTATAAATCAAGCGTGTAGCTGAAATCCTAATAAGAAGCCAGTAAAAGCCAGACCATGTTATATTCAGGGCACTCAGCTTTAAAACTTGAATCCTTTAAATATCTAACAGTGAGTTCTTTTGTCAGGTGTTGTTGAGGTGTACCGCGTCACTCGCCGCGTGGAGCTGGGCATCAAGGCCACAGCAGTGTGTTCAGAGAAACTACAACAGCTGCTGAAAGACATCAGCCGAGTGTGGAATAACCTCATTAGCTTCATGTCACTGGCAAAGCTGGCGGTGAGACGGACCAACAATCATGAAACACTGTATTAATGTTAAAGACACACATTTACTGTATATTTAGGTTTGATATGTGTAATTGTAAGGTTTGTCTTCCAATGCTGAATACCGACTCGGTGACTACTGTGGGTCCGTTAGGATAAAATCTATGGGATATTGATTGAGTTTAGATGTTTCTGCATCTGATGGTGGTTTGATGATGTGTTCGGGCTGAATGACAAGGATAGTATTGATTTATTCAGCTGTCTGCAACAGTCTCTGAAGCAAACAGATGAGGGATCTGTGCTGCTGCAGAGGGAAATATTGTTTCAGCAGATTCAAATAATGTCGAGAAAAAATGCGAATACATGGTTTTTATGTAACGGGTGGATTTTTTTTTTTTTATCATTCATGTTGCGTTATTAGTTGAGTAGTTGGGGCTTTGAGAGTAAATGTTTTATTGGATTCTTTACAATAATAAAGAACGTATTAAATCTATTCTATTATTTTCACAGCCGGATGAGACCTCTCTAGATTTTTCCTCTTGTATTTTACGACCTGGCATCAAGAACGCCAAGGAGCTGGCCTGTGGAGTGTGCCTTCTGAACGTTGATGCTCGTAGCAAGGTATGTTTCTATTTTCCTAATTCTTTGAATTCAAATTCTTTATTTCAGTTAAGTATATGTCCGATATATATCCATTACTGGATCGTCTCACATTTTGAAAAATTTTGCAGAAAAAAGAGGAAAGCACTATTGGACGCCTGTTCAAACGAGTATGAGACAAAATACTGTCAACCAAATTTAATTTCAATCATTTCTGCTGAAATCCTCTGGGGTCCTTTCCTCTTCCCACTTGCCCCGCAGACACCAAAGTGACAGGATTCACATTGCTGCACTTTCCTTAATGAACAACAGTTGTGCTTCTGCACACATCGCCACAGTTAAGTCGCTTGGCCAAAGTCGGTCTCTTTTTCAGTTTTAGGTCCAATAAAAGCGATGCATTCGTCCATCCAAGTGTGTGCGAGTGAATAGTCACTTTGGTGCGGCACTCTAGAGTTTGGTTTCTCAAGGTCAACACATTAACAGCTTCAACTAACCCTCGTTTTCAATTAACACCGCTGATTACTATCACTGGTCCCTGCTTCTCCTGTCTCCTCCCTGATTGTGTTCAGCCTCTAATGTGTGTTCAGACTTCACACTTGAAAGGGCAGGTGGTGACACTGATGGGTCGCTCTGTTGAAAATGAATAGGCCACAGGCTTCAAATGCATCTTGGTTTGAAGCAGATGTGGCTTACCCATAAGTCATAAGCAGGGAGTACAGCTGGCAATACCTGGTACACATTTCTATTCAGCTTTCATTCTGTTTGTAGAGGCATTTCTGTCCCTGAGATGCTAGCACAGAGATTAATAGCCCGTATTTTAATTACATTTTTGGCCGAGCCATGCTGGTAAAAGGCATGAAGTGGAGAATAGCATCCCTCAGAGCATTATGAAGCAGAAAAACAGCTCATGGCGACACAGGCATCGCTGATTAGAGCTTTGTCATTTATTGAAGGAACCGATTTGTTTTTTTCACCTGAAGGTAAAGGTAGTAAAGGTTGAAGTTGCATCCAGTTGTTCTCAGAAATCAAGCTTAATGGCCTCTGCTTTAACAGCACTATCTGTCTTAATCTTTACACGTTCTAAATGACCGCAGTTTGCCTGATTTTTTCTTATCAAACTTCCAGGTGCATCTTTGCTGGGCACCTGTGCAGAATATTTTACTTTTATAACATGTATTCTGAAGTTACCGTACACATTCTTAAAGATCTAAGATATACAACATAGAATTTGTCTTTTTTGTGTATGGAATAATTCTAGCACCCCTTGGAAAGTGCTTTGGTTCGTTTTAAACACTGAGCGTTTTGTTGCTGTTTCCTTAACAAGAGCCGTTACAATCTATGCCATTAGTCGGCCAGGGCAGGGCAGTTGTAGCTTGATACCACCACTGTTATCAATGATATTTTTCAATTCCATAAAGAATGGAAGGCTGTATTTTTCTGTCATTTTTCTTTGGGTGATTGAACCACTCTCCTGGTGACAAAATGGGGCTTTGCTGAATCATTTTGGCTTTAACTTTTTCACTGCATGAGTCTGTGGTCATACGCTGACTACTCTTCTGCTTACAGGCATTGACTAGAGACAATGACAAGAGGTTATCGGTAATTATTTGATTTTTGTCTTTAATTTGTTTTTTCTTTGTCGTATTTGAGACAAGCAGATTGTGTCACTCCCTGATTGAAATGGTGTGCTCTGAATAATCTGTTCTATGAAGTAAGATGATATAGCCATACTTGCATGCGAAAGCTAAGCCAGATCCCGTCTGACGTCTGAAGCTGTGCAAGGCAGGGCCTGATTACTACTGTGATGGGAGACCTCTGGGTACCCCATGTGCCACTGTGGGGGCAGCTGCGGCTGTAAAGTGCCAAACTGTTGTTGTGTCCATAGGAAAGTCACTTCACCCACATTGTTTAGAAAGAGTCTGGTGTGTGTGTGTGTTGGGAATGGCTGGTGGTGGTCGGAGCCGATAGCACATACTGGTTGCCTCGCTTCTGTCAGTGTGCTCCTGGGCAGCTGTGGCTACAATAGTAGTTTACTACCACCATGTATGAAGTGAAAGAATAATGACATGTGAAGTGTCTTTGAGTGTCCTGAAAAGTGCTATATAAAACCAATGCATTATTGTTATAGAGTTTATACTTTGTATGCAGGCTGAGAAAAATATCTTAGTTTGGCTGTGTCTGACGAGGCCACTGCACAAAACGTTTCTGGAGAAATGTTTGAAGAAATGTCAACTGCAAAATGGGAAGGTGTCATTCATTGGAGAAAACCTTGACAATCTGACTTGATGTTGTAGTTGGTGCAGTTCTTTACGTTGAGCTGTATCTTTGTGCACGTCCCCTCTCCTCGTGAGTGGGAGGCAATGATTCACTGCACGTTAGTCATGCCTCTCTGGCCGCAGCTTCACTACTTCAGCAGTGATGTAAACATAACCTAAAACTGACAACAACATCAGCAACTCTGCAGAATAAATCTAACGCTCCATTTAATCGGAGGCCATTGAATCAGACAAGTGGGAAGAGTGCGAATTCTTATTTTTGGCTTGGACAGCTTTAAGAAAATCTTAAGCTTAAGCCAAAATAAATGACACAAACTCACACATACAACTTTTATTCCTTTCTGGTGTTGTCTTTAGTAGTACTCTGATGTTCTACTGTTTGTCTGTTTCACATCTGAAACAAACTATGTCACCTGATGAATTAATACATGTTTTGTGATTTTTGCTTTCTACTTTATAGAATCAGATTTTTATTTTTAATTCACTGTAATTTTAGGCCTTTAACTCTGAGACGGACAACTTCAAGCTGCTGTATGGAGGCCACAAGTACCACGCCAGCTGTGCCAACTTTTGGATTAACTGTGTGGAGCCCAAGCCCCCTGGCCTCATCCTGCCGGACCTCCTCTGAGTTAACACACGCCAACACCAGATACCCACGATACACTGTACCCGGGAATGACTGGGAACTATCTGGATATGGAATGTTCTTTGAACAGGCTTAAGTTGTCCATGGGTCAAAATGAACCACCACAGTGATTAAAAGTGGTAGAAAATACCCTAAATTAGGGTTTGAAATGGTCTAAATGACCCAAGGCCGGTCAGGTTAGAAAAGGTAATCAAAAATCAGATAAAAAATAATAATGATTTTGCTTATTTTATCACTGTGGAGGGTCAATTTGACCCAAGGATAGCACAAGGGTTTTTAGGTTATGAATGATTGGCTAAAATAAGACCATATCCAGTGTTTTGTATTTCTTCTGTCCTTTGCTCTGATCTGCAGGCTTCTGGGTCCAAAATAATGTGAGCTTGGTGATGTCATTGTTCAGTCATTGGATCATCAACAAGTAAACTGCCAATGTCATAGGCAAGAAATATTTATACTGTTCATTTTAGTCTTGTTTTTTTGGCTGCTGTTTAAATATAGCTTTTCCCTACTCTTATTGAATATATATTATGTACATATACACATATATATACATGTGTGTGTATATATACAAAAGCTGTTTGGGAGAAACTTCGTATATGAACTATTTTACTGTACTTGAAAATGTAATTTTTCATAATGCTAATATTGACCATCAAAACGTGACTGCTGGATTACATATGAAATGTCTATCATTAATGAATTGTGTTCAGTTGTTGATTTTAAATGTTTTTTGCACTGGGCTGTGATAGTGAAATGGCAGCAGCACTTGTATATATTTACTCAGTGACATGCTGTAGCCTTATAAATAAACTGTAATGTGAATAAAATAGTATTGACCCAATTCATCATCACTGAAAATCTTGATTTTAAGCCATTGTCTTTGGTTTCTTTGTCATATTTTATTGATTTGATTTTACCTTTCTCCAACTACCAAACACACATCCAAGAAAGTATATTACATATCATTTTACAAACAAAATTTGAAACTGCATTTCACTCATCCTGCCGCTGAAACCATCAGAGGCACTTTAAGCTCAGTCAATCACCTCCAGAGCGTGAAACCATCTCATTATTACTCTCTCCTGTGTTCAGGTGCACTCGCCAACATCCATTTTATCTCTCGCCATGTGCTAATCCATTTCCTGCAGAAAATGAATCCTCTTCTCCCATGCCGAACATGGGGATTACACTAAATTACAATCAATTGCTGAATAAGGCTGTGTGATTTAAAATGCAGTCTAGCCGCCTGTCATCTTCACGCCTCTTGTCTGTGATGCAGAGCTCAAACAATTCCTGGAGACTGTCCAGACTGTAACGCATCGGATTATCTGGCTTATCAAGTTAATGACTTCGAACAGATGTTTTATACTAAAAATCAACACTTTTACTCTGGTGGGAAATAAAAATGATTTTACTTTCTTATTCCTGAAGTAAACCAGTCACTTGTTGCACCCTAAACTAAGATGTTAAGAGTATATTGATCAAATGTTTTATATCCTTTTAATCATTTATAAATAGTTGAGATGCAGAATAATTGAAAAGTGATGATTGGAATTTGTTGTATTACACTCACTACAGCTTTTCTCCATGCAGCGGGGAGATCTTTGAAACTGTTTTTATATAGACAAACATACTTCTTGACCCTCAGCCTGACTGGTGGCCCTGATTGTTATGCCCCACACATAAAAATCTAAATATAAGTTATCTTAGTTCTAAAAGTACAGGTTTGGATTCTGTCCAACTGTTAAAAGCTCATATGCAAGCAGATAGTTCCCTTTATTCGATCTTCTTCTAATGGGGTATTTTATTAACCAACGTACGTAATGTATCACACATATAATTGATGTCATATAGTTATTGCAATTACCACCAAACTGAATAATGAAAATTAAAGGTGATTAAGCAGTATGCTATCTTTGCACAAAGATTAGTTTCACAACTGTAAATAATGTTTGCAAGTTGCTTTTGTAGTATGAGATGATAAGGTGATGCTGCTATCAAATACTGCTTTGAGTCAAATTAAAATTTAATTTCCATTTGTTTCTTTGGCACTGTCGGTAGAGCATGGTTTCTGCTGTTAAAGTCTGCTGTCTTAAGGATAACTATGTTCCCACATTAGAGCAGCGCAGGTGAAGAGCCTGTAATTTAAGACCATTAGTTCTGAATGACTGTGGTGCCCTATCATTGTGGTGCTGGTATTTTGTCGTTTCAAATGTAGACACAGACAAAAATATAATCAAACAAATTTGCTTTATTAATATTTGATATTGAGACTTTCAATATTGTGCTACAATTAGTAAATCCTAACATACAGGATTGTTTTGAAGGAAATGTGAAAATAAAATATTTTTTCTAATAATATTAATGCATAATTAGAATTTCATAACTATAAATAAAACACTGGTGGCAGTGCTATCTGCTGTACTGAACAACATCTAATGGCTCTCCATAACAGTGGACGACAACATGAAAGCATCCTCTCTGCAGTGTACAGACCCCTCCAAAAACATGACTAGACCACAGTCATAGTTCCCTCAAAATAATGTCTATATTTTCTGTACACTATTTGCTACCATAGATTTAGAGCAATCAGCTGCTCACACATAAACATGTTGTATACTAGCACATGACGCACGTCAGCCACTGAACTGCCCTCACAAAATGTCTTCAGGATCTGTGGTCACCTGTTTGATGCTCAGAGACCACACCAGGTGCACATCTCCAGCAGCAGATGAAGCTGAAATCCTTTCTTTGGAGCTGGTTTTTCAAACAGAACTCTCAGAGACACACACTTGTCACTATGACTCGTCACTCTGGGGAGTAAATCGCTGAATCACAGGCCCCAGTAGGGGGCCAGGCTCCTGCGGTCCCTCTCATACACATCTGGGATCACCCCATAAGGAGTTTGTACCATCTTCACAGAGTTTCTCCCAAACAGCTTTCGTTCATACTCAATGAGCTGCCTCCAGAAGCCTCCATTAGGCCGAATGACGGGCCGACGGGCTTTGACCCAAGCATGGGCCTCTGCGAGAGACACACGGTGGTATTTCATGAGGTAAGCCAAACAGAGAGAGGCTGAGCGGCTCACTCCGGCAGCACAGTGCACCAGCACAGCCCCCCTCTTACGGCCCACACTGTGGATCTTATCAGCCACACTGTCAAAGTAAAGCGAGAGCGGTGAGTGAGGCATGTCGGCCAGTGGCACCTTCACATACTCCATGTGAGGCCAATTGAAGTTGGGCAGCTCGATGGTGGCGTTAACCACACAAGTGATGCCTTTGGACAGCAGCAGGCTGCGGTTCGAGGCCACGTTGCCTCGGCTGAGGAACAGGTTGGGGGTGATCTGTGCGATGCCGCCCAGCAGGCTCCCACTCTCCGGAAGCAGCCGGGGTACTGTGGTGGGAACCATGGAGCCGCGGTGATGATGATGATGGAGGAAGCCGTGACTGCGGGAACCCATTTAGATCAAGTCGAAAAAACACCAAAACAGTGGAAAATATTCAGAAAATCTTCACAGACATTCGTATCAGCCAAACCGCTCCTGAAACAAAAACATATTTCACTCTGTTAAACAGTGTTCCCCCTGTTTTTCACAAACACAAACAAAGAATATTTATCTCACACAAAAAAATTGTTTGTCCCATTACTGACTCGCAGTTGTTCTGGAGGTGAGGCTGCTTGTTTGCATGTAAATGCTGTTTCTGGAATTAAACCTATCCAGCTTCATAAGGAATGTTCCAAACAAACCAGATCCAGGAAGTTACCCGATGTTGCTTAAAAATGATCAACTAATGTTTTTTTTTCTGTGATGCTTGTTGTGCATGTATGTGCAGTACCATGTGACCCCATAAGACACATCCATGGTCCATCACACACGCCTCTTACGTTATTTAGTAGAACCTTCATTTTTTTCCAGGCTAATCCAGGCATTAATGACTAAACCAGAGGTAGGTCTGTGTCAGTGATTTTCTGTTTGAGTGTGAATATTGGGTACTATAAAATAAAGTCAATGTGACGTTTGGATTCCTGGGTATTCTGATGAAAATGGCGCCCTGATTGTGACTGGTATTGAAGAATTTCCAGAGTCTACAGCCAGTCATGCTAGTTAAGAAACATAGCTACTACGTATTTTCTATATATTGTGTGCTCCCTGTGTGCTCTTACTACTGTCCTGTATGTGCGCTGCAAATTTCCCCACTGTGGGACGAATAAAGGAACTCTCTCTCTCTCATTCTCTCTTTCTGATGCAGTTTGTTATCAGCTTCGTTTGAGACACTTTCATACTTCACTGCTCTTAGAATGTGTCATCGTGAACCAGAGCTTCTGCACATTCAGGCAAAGTTACAAACTACTAAAAAATACTATTGTATACTGGTCTGACATTGCACTGTCATAGTGAAAAGTGATGCTCAGACACACTGTACTGTGTCACACGTTGTACAATGTTTTGTTTTACTAAAGACTGTGATCATCATGTTACAGCGTAGCTTATCCCCTTCTCTCACGCTGTCATCCGGAAAGACAAGGCAACAATTACAGCAGACTGAGGTATGAAAACCACAGTTTGCCTTACATTACTGCAATGATTGTTTTAAAGTCAATTTCAAACAGTACAGTTGTTTATTTTATTCAGGAGAATTTATTGTTTTCAATGCTGTTTTAGACGAGTATATATATTCAAACAATCCTTCCAGAGACATTAAAACACATTTAGCAAATACTACATTGTTTTACCACTGATCTATTTGGTGATGAGCAAGATCACAAGCACATTTGCCTTGTCTTTGTTAGTGCATAGGTGCCAGTCAAGGCAACAATATCTGGATGAAGACGTGTTGTTGCACACCAGCTCTATAATTTTTGCCTCTAGATAGTCTCATCACTCAGCTGTTACCAAAGCAACAAGCCATTCATTCGAAAATACATTACATCATGCAAACGTGAGGACTATGGTCCATCTTTCTCTATCTTATAAGACCTCTCTCTCAACAGGTGGTCCCATCTCAAATCCTATACTGTCGGTCAGTGGGGCCATTGCTTGACTGCTGCTGTTACAAATGAGAAACATGACACACTCAAGAATATATATAGAGAACATATAGAACACACTCAACTGTATCATTGAGGGTGGAAGACCTTGCACCAAATAATATAGAGATCTGTAGTAGTAAAACATTGTTGTGCATTATCCTAACTATATTATTAATGGGCATTAAAATGACTCTTTGATATATTAAATACATTTTCTGAAACCTTTATCCATCCGAGATGAGGGCTTGTATGTGTTTGTTTTCAAGAGCAGCACTGAGTAAATGTTTCTTACTGTGAGTTCACTGGTTGTAATGTTATATTTTTAGGTAATGAGTAATTGTATTATGGCGGCACAGTAGGGGGTAAGAGTTGTTCAACAGTTACAGTGCCTTGCCATATTTTATTTTTTTATACAGAATTATTAATAGCCTTTTCTTACACCACTAATGGATACTTTAACAAACAAAACCCAAAGGTAGACTAATTTTAAACCCCACAGTAACACATTTCTTTAAAACCAGAACTAAAATGATATCCTACTCATAATTGAATCAGACCCCTTATTGTCACGTATGATTAGAGTTACACGCTGGGAATTCCAAACAGCAGTGAATGGTACCAACAAGTGCTCATTATTGGATCATCTCGACACATTGTTATTATGTTTAGTTTGCAAGACTATATAGGCCTATTCTCAGTGTGAAAAAACACCTTTAAATAAAGAGTAGATCATATCTCATTGTTGGGTAAGCTGGAAGAACGTAAGGCTTTGGTGAATAAGTCTTGTTTGTTGAAACATTTATGTTTTAAAGTGTGAGTTACGGGTGCATCTGGCGCGCGCCTCAGCAGCTCGTCCTCGTGCGCGTGACGTCAAAATCTGCGCGTGTTAAGTTGAGAAAGGTATGAGGTTGGCATCAAGGGAAATCTAGGGGAATCTTGTGTATAAACCACTGTCTTTTTCTATTCTAGCTCCAAGCCGAATGCTATTTAACAACAGGACAAGCGTCTCGCTCTTTAGTTGTGATGCTGTGTTTCAGATGTGTCAAATGTCGCGTTAGTAAAAGCATCCAAGAGAAGTCGAACTTACCAGAGGGCTCAAAAGGAAGATGGAGCTGAGTCCGGCTTCACCCATCCGGGCTGCGCGTCTCCTCCGCTAAAACTCTGGGCATCTATTTCCGAAGAGTCCGTGTCTTGGACAGGCCTGAGCGGTCAGGAGCAGGACAGAGGGCCCGGTGCAGAGACAACAAGTGCAACAGTCTGAGGCATCATGTGGAAGTGTCCAGAAACACGAGCCAGAGCATCACTGCTGCACGAGCCGAGGCGTGTGCGCGAGCAGCGGGCACGAGAAGAATCTCATTGAAGGAGGCGTGGCCTGTGCGAGGAAGGGGTGGAGGAGAGGAGAGGACACACCCACTGGACACACATGTGGGCACTTATTATTTTCAATCAACTAAGTGCAGAGCCTAAACAGGGTATGTGCATGTTATCAAGTATTTGAACAGATTATTCACGAAGCCATCCAGTGTTTGATAATATGTCGTTGGTTTAATTGGCTTAGAATATTTATAATCATAATTTCTGTTGCAAGATGTCCCCCAAAATCCACTATCTGAGGAACAATCTTTTATATTCAACAAATAGATTCCAGATATCCAGAATGTCTATTCTGAAATCTACTTGATGTCAGAATGTTATATATTCTTGGACTTAGACCCTGCTCGTGAAATTAGACATTCATTTGACCACTGTGCGGCCATAATTGAGTGAGACTGACCTTATGAATGTTTTAAAGTGGGAGATGGCACTATGGCTGTCTGTGAATAACGGGAGCTTGAGCAGAGAGAGACAAATGTTGTAGAAATGGTAACCTTGAATCCAAGCTAAGTGAGACACTCAGATGGATAGAGGGATGTTGCTGCTGAGAGAGGGAAATAGCTGCCAGCTGTAAGACCAGGTCCTCACCGAAATGTCAGATGAGTCACAAACATTCTGTGAAGACAGTGCAGGTTAATATGGCACCACAGTCTGGCTGCAAATTTACAATGACACCATTACTATAATAATAACAAGCACCTGTAACCATGGCTGAAGGAGCTGCCCTGAAGTTACACTAATGACCCCTGACAACAACACAGGGTAATACAATGATGTCACCGGAATCTTTTGGGCAGTGAAACAGTCCACACTGGCCTGTGGTATGTTCTACTTCAATAATTACTCATGTATGTGACCTAATGTTAATGATGCACTGTCCATTCCAGCAAAAAAAAAAAGAAAAAGAAAAAAACACATTTCAAAAAGTACATATAAATCAGTACAAAAGGTTGAGTTTCCATTTCATTGTCTTATTATTATTCGTTTTTTATTTATTTAGACTTTATCAAGGACTCACATGCAAGCACAGGATCCATAGCTAAAAATAATGAAAGAAAAGTTAAAAAAAGAACTGTGTTAAAAACACACTTAATAATCACATATATTCCCAAATACAGTATACAGCAAGTCTCACATACAAAGAAGCACGCTAGTGACTTCAAAGTTTAGAAGTGAACCTGACTGAGCTAATGTAAGGGCAAACCAGAGACTATACAAAAGCATTAGGTACCCTTACAACTGTACACATAAACTGATAGTAGCAGTGACACAGGACAGCAGGAAAGGAGCGCACTCTGCACTCAGCACTAGTGTTTGGGGATCTTCAGCTGCATCCTCATGGAGTCATTATAGGCTGTTAACCTCTGCAGACTGGCTGCTTGTAACTCCGCCACATTTGGGCTGTGTATAAAGGGGCAAATATTTATTTTTAGTTTGAAAGCTAGATAACATTGGTGTACATTATTCTTCACTACATTTAGGCTTTCTAAACCACAGATAACGGTGAGCAGATTTCATAGTACTTTTGGGAGAGCTGAAGCAGGAAAAAAACACAGCCAGGAAATCATGTAATAGTTGCTCAAACCATTATCCTTTCACTTCACATTAGCAAAGGGGCAGGATCTTAAAACGTATTATTAACGTATTACTTTGATGCAGATTTGTTTAGATAATGACTGTCTGGTAAATAGGGGATAGAACAATATCAATTCAACCAAAACAAAGCCAAAGTGATGTCATTCTACGTTGACACGAGCTGTCAATGTAGACAATGTGAACATTTTTAATAGATTTTAAAATACTTTTTAGACACATTTTTATTCCGTTATGCATTAATTCTAGCCCCATTTGAGTCATAAAATGTATTTATGGCTTGTTTAAATCCATGTATCATTCAAAATCTGATTCATTCATTTGTCCCAATATCAATAATTATCAATGTATTAGTGAATCAAGTAGGGTTAGTAGCAACAGGTTGACAGAATTAATTCTCACACTCAAATTTATTTTTTTACTTATTCAATCTGTTATCAAATGCTCCCAGACTATTTTAAA